ATGAGCCATTTGCCACCTTGGGACATGTATAAATGAAGGGGTTGCACATACATCCTTAGCCACTTCTTTTCAGCCTCTATTTGCATTCGATAATTTCGCTTGGTATGAAAGAGTTACTAGAGGGATTGACTGTTTGATGTTGAACATCCCATCCTCTTTCCAGCCTTTCTGTCTCTTTGGCTAATTGAATAAATCTCCCTGATGGCTGCTATATCTGATTTCCAGTTATTCTCCAGTTGCTGTCCTGTTCGCTTCCCTCACTGTAGAGGGTTCTGGCTAGGCCAAACTACATAAAACTACATAGCTGGACGGAGGTTAGGGGTCACGTGCTAACGTCGTCCAACCATGGATGGAAGAGTGTGTTGTTATTACTAACTACGCGGGAGCAACACAATATGTTGGATAGAGTAATTAGAAGGGGAATTATCATGTATATAGCCTATCGGTAGGCTTCGATGCGTTTCGCCATCATATATGCAAGCCGGTCCCATCGCTTCTCCAAACGTTTGTAGGTTAAATATACTGATACTCAAGTTACTACAGCGTATGTAGTAAATATTTTCTTCAAATGGACAAAACCTGCGCGAGCTGTGGCGCAAATATTTAAAACGACAAGATTTGCAGTTCCTGAGCGAGAGTAAAAGGTGCAAATATTGACGCTTTCGGAACCGGATTATATAAGCGTCAACGTCACTCGTCACTCCATCTTTGATCTCATCCAACCGAGGAATAATAAAGCCCGTAGATAGATCCATTGTCAATGACAATCTTCCACCCGATGCTTTCATTAAATGTCATTGAATGAGCTGTATTAGCTATGGCTGGACGTCGGCATGTTTCTGTTTCTGCTTCGGGAATATAAACCACCCCTTTGTTGAACTAGACCACGCAGCAGCGAGATGATGGAAGGGTTTAAGTTTGTGAGGAGCTCTTCGGGGCAATGGAAAACTTTTCTTCGTCGGTGCCTTTCTGAGAGATCCGATGCCGCTGAATTTGGGCGTTTTGCGACGGTTATGCTGAATCGCCATTCCATCCCAGGGAGAAGGTTAATAGACATCATTCTAGCGGCAAGAGTTGTCACAAATGTGCCTTGGGACCCATTGATACCGCGCTCTATGTGGACACCCTACACAGGCTTGGTAGCATTAAACTTGAAGATATCCTAGAGTCCCTTTTAGCGCATTCGACAGTCTCCCAGAAGCAAGCGTCTGTTCAGAATGGATCAGCCACAAAAACACCCCTCAGTACGCTGATGACCGACTACTGCGTTATCCACAATGCTACAATAGCAGCGACTTCAGGACATGCCCCAAAGACAATAGCTGAAGCCGGAAACACATTTTCTGCGCTCGCACAATGGATTTTATCTCTTCTTTCATGGAACTCAAGTCGTGAACCGGAAGGCGACCCCTCCAGCTCGCTGACAAGCTCTCCGGATGCTCTGACCGTGTTCGAATCGCTCGGGATTTTATTTGCTGCACTTGCCAGCACTGAGAGATCAGTAAACGCTCTTTCTGCCGCTGGGACAAAAGGTACCCTTTCTATTCCTGTCACATTGGCTGTAATTGCATTTCCAACTTGGATTAATTACTGATTGTTGTTGCCCATCAGAGTGGAGAAATAAGCTAGGACAAGCTCTTTCTGAATATATACCACTATGTGCTGGTGTATCAATTCCCCTACGTGACAGGCTCGAAGCGCTGCAAAAAGATTTTAACTTATATGGTCACGATGGAGAGAAATCTCTTGAGGATTCAATGATGGAAAATGTCAATATCTCGGCTCTAGAATTTGAGTCTAACGTGCTTGACGGCGTTATCATTAATTCCAGAGCAGGGCCTTATATATATGTTAATGCCTTGGTATGTGCCTTTTTCCCCTCTCATTTATTGCTCTGCGTGTGTTAATATCATCTTGAAGCTCGTCGGGAGACCACTGGTTGATGATAACATGGTTGTCAACTATTTAAATAACCGATATGGAGTAAGTTCTTGAAGCCCTACTTTATCAACTACACAAATCTCATGTTATCTTTCTAGGGCGATCGCATGGCACTGATTGAAGATCTTATTACTGCGGCCTTTGACGTTTTATCAAATGGGATGTATCGCAATGAGCCTAACCGCACAATGTTTATCTTCCGCTCTTTCCTAGTCAACAAGCTGCCACCATTTTTTGCCGAGATGTGTACATCTGCTATTGATCCCATCCCCATGGAGCTTTGTATCACCCGTGCCCTCAGTCGCATTGACCCCAACGCCTTTCCGTCGTTTTCGGAAATGTTCGCCATGCAAGGAAATTCTATTCTCTCGGATGTCCGACAGGAATTTTTGTTTGCCTGTGCGTTGCACAAATTGATACCCGAAGCGAGCATCGAGCGGCTTCTAGGAGAAAACCCAATGCAAACCTTGCCCGTTGGAGGACAGCTTCGACGAGAAGATTTAGTTTCCCAAATTAATAGCAACCCTGAGCGTGCAGAGCAACTTATAAATGAACTCGAGTCAATGGAAGGGAACGCTGGTGCGATAGCGACGGCTATCACGGAAGTGAGATTTTTTTTCTTTCTTTCTTTATTTTTCTCTTGTTGCTGCCCTAGCCTTCCTCAAAATCTGACCACATTGCCAGGTAATGCATAGTTTATGCTCAAGGAAGGAAACGATGACCCTGAAGAATATTTGCAATTCCCTCTCACGGAGGCCACTTTCCTTGGACGTCATGCTTCTTTTTATTAGCCCATCAACTATCTTACAGCCCCTCTGCGCTTTGCTTGATGCCTGGAAATGGGGCGAAGAACAAGGTACACAGGATCATTCTCAGGTATGCTCTATGAAACATGCTGACAGCATATACAGGGGAAAGTCAACCGGTCTATGATGAATTCGGCAGCATATTACTACTGGTTCTTGCCTTCAAACACAAATACGGACTATCTCATTACGACTTAGGAATTTCAAACCCCGACTCGTTTGTCCTCAGGCTTCTAAACTATGGGTCCTCAAGTCAGAGACTTGACGACTTGGACGAAAAGCAAAAAAATAATCTTGGAGCATGGATCACAGCCTTGTTCATTGCAGAAGGGATTAGCGACGATTTAATGTCATCATGCAGTCCCCAGGAGTTTTACTTCCTCGTAGCGACTCTTTTCAGCCAAAGTCTGGCGGCCTGTGAAGCCGGAAAACTAGAATTTGAGACGTTGAAGGGAGGGTTTGAATGTACGTTGTTCCTGAGTGAAACCATGCAAGAAAGTTACTCATTTTTACAGATCTCTTAGAACCGTTCCTCTTGCCATCTCTAGTGATGGCATTAACGTGGCTTGGTCATCACATTTGGGAGTCAGAAAGTGATTTGACTACATCGTTAAAACTTTTGCTTGCCCTCGTTAAACCAAGTTCCATATCTGGCGAAGCGCAGGAAATCCATCGCACTGTGCTATTAATAACTGCAAAGCCGCTTGAAGACCAGCTGAAGGGTGTTCGTACTAGGCATCCTTCGAGAAACGATATTAAACCCGTTCTCGAGGCTTTAGAGCCATACCACTCCTTCCAGCGGCGCAGCACAGCGCGTTATGGCGAAGTTGAAGGCTGGGCTTCGAATCCAGCAGGTGGAGGGATTGTTGCCAGCATCCGCAACACCTTTTCGTCATTCGTTTTCTGGAGCACAAGCCCCTGAAATAAGCATGACGCCGCCCTAGCTATACACACCGTCAGATTGTCGCCGGAATACGGCTTGTAGGCGCCGTTCGCGTACTGCGAGGCATAATCGATGAGCTCAAATTGCAAGCGGAAACGGGGAGCGGTGATCTCGCCCTTGATATTGCCGCCACGCTCATATGTGCTCCCCTTGCGGAATCCTTCGCCGTAGAGCGGGCAGCATTCCATCCCGTTGACCTGTCTAAAGATTCGGTACCCCACAATTCTATTCTCACACTCCGCGACGCACTTAACCTTGAGCGTGAATCCATCCCCAAGTTAGTCGATAGTGACACGCCCCGTGCGGAGCTAATTGTGCGGTTAAATCGGCGAGTCGATGCGCTTACTGCTATCCCGCAGCTGTCACAAGAAGTCTCAAGCATCGATGTTGGCAACATCATGCAAGATATCAATTTAGAAGAGGAAAGCATGGGAATGACTAACCCAAGGCTCGATCAAGGCGGTGAGCAAGCCGGTCAGCAGGATCAAGTCGCGGACGCTGCAGGTGATCTCAATGACATGCTTGATGCAGCAGTGGCGGCGGCGGCTGGGGGTGATGGGGCCGGAAACGAACAGGGGATGGGTATGAGTGGAATCCGCGGGATTAGTATGACTATGGATAGTGGCATAGAGCGCAAGCATTGATGATGTGCTCAACGAAGCGGATACTGTGAGAGTCGCAATCCTGAATTTTTGGATTTGGATA